GACTCGAAGCCAGGCGCGGGAGCGCTCCCCGGGGCGGGAAAACTTACCTCCGCCTGGGAAAACGTGTTTGGGGCGGAAACGGGAGAAGGTGTCGTGACTTGCTCGGTGCTCGGCCGGGCTGCACATGCTGCACAGCTGCGGCGCCCAGTTGGGCTTTGTTTTCGTCCTTCGGTAATGAAAGTGAACAGGTGAAATGTGGCGTGACCTTCCCCCCGTTTAGTGATCTTTGTCATAAATCGCAGCTGGCTGCTGAGTGGTACGAGCCGATCTGTGTAGGCTGATTGTGACCGCCTTTGTTTTGGTGTTTACAGTTCGAATGGTAGTAGATATGGGTAGTACCTTGTGCTGGAGCTTCCCGGGAGCACGGATAACTTAAGTGACTGGGCTTCAGTATCAGTTGGTATCAGTATATACAGCCACCAGCACAGGCTCCAGAACTGGCCCCTACTTCACAATTACCTGGTGCGATAGCAAACGTTTGTTCTGCTAGAAGAGTTCATGCTCATATCACCATGGGCTTATTCTTTGCTTAATTCCTTGTGTTCTAGGCAAACGATAGGTTTTAAACAGAACAAAGGGACTACTCCCCTGACTGCAAAAGCCAAACCGTAGAAGCTAGTGGAATAGCACTGGGCTGTCATACAAGGGAAAAAGGCAGTGCTGACATGTGCCACCTCATATATTAGTGGAGGTGTGTGTCAGGCGTTATGGTCAGATTTCTTCTTGGGTTTGTTAAGTTGAGGAGAAAAATAAACAGAAATCAGTAGGGTGAACCTTTCACCAATCAACACCAATTTTATATGTTACCCTGAACAAATGGTACTGTTCTATTCCTACCACATGGACCCTACTAGCCAGCCAGGTTCCCAGAGTCCTCTTGGTTCTCAGTAGCCTTCAGGGAAGGCTCAGGGAGCTTAGTCCCATCTGAACCTATGTTTGTTTTCAAACTCTGGATCATCATGTAACAACAGACTTTCTTAGACTTCATGTGAAATGTTTACGTTTCTTGCTGTCTCTTCACTCTAGCATAGGAAAGGCTGAATAATTTTCCCTGTTAGGCTTGTCTGAATTTTAATGACTTATGTGTTTTCATCATGTTGTTCATTCTACCCATCATCTCCCTTCCTTGTATCTCTGCTCTGTGGAACCATCTTTCTTCCACTTTCTGTAGCTGCTCCCTGTGCTCCCCTCTCCTACCTCTCCAGGGAACCAAAAAGATAACCAGAGCTTGCAAGATGCAACCATAAAGTCCATTTATCGTCCTGGGTTTGCCCCTAGAACATTTGTTTAGGGAACAGGCATTGTCATCTATTTTGTGGAACCTGTATTAGCTTTTGGATTCATGTTTTAGATGAATTTTTGGCTTTCAAAGTCTATCCTGGTATTTGGTTTAAAAAATGCTCGATAGGACACAAAGCATCATCTAGTCTTGTTGGTCTGTGACTTACAAAAAAACCCTCTTTTCTGTTCATAGTTCTGTTCTTGAGACATTTTAACCATGACTAAGAGGGAGGCAGAGGAGTTGATAGAAATAGAAATTGATGGAACTGTGAAGCAGGAAGGCACTGAAGAAAGGTATGTACTGTGTTTGCTTTTTGGGGTCCTTAGGCTGCAATTTGTTTATTTATTTGATTTCTTTAATGAATTTTAGATTTGTGACCACACACACCAAATTTGGTTATTCAGATTTATTACTGAGTACTGTGTAACACTTTGGAGATGGTTATGGTTATGAAATAAGTCGAAGGGTTCTCTAGCTAGGCAAAAGAAGTAGCTTCAGACTTGCAGAAGTACCTGGTTTGGTATGATCTCTAATTCTGCTGTTGATCATTTCCACTTTGAACTTTCTTACTGGTTATGAAGTTCTTGGTTTTGCTTGTGCTCTCTTGATTTTTTTCTGTTTCTTATCTAATTAAATGGTGGTCTTCTTGAAGTCAAAATGTAGCCACTATAGGAAATCAGTATATTGCTGTCATGTTTTTTAATATTAATTATTTAAATTCCAAACTGTTTTGTTTATTTGTTGCTAAGTTATTAGTATTTCTCTTTTCCTGTTTTCATATATTAGGAATATGTCTGTTTCTATGTGCTGCATTCAACTTCAGTGTATCCCTTGGTAATTAAGATGACCCTTTCAGTTTCACTTGTGTGTTGCATAAATGTTATACAGGATTTATACAGGATCATTTGTTTTTAACAGAGCAGAAACGATGTTCTGTATCAACTCCGTTGTTTCTAGGGCCAAAGAAACCATAGATACTGAAGTCTGATGTCCTTTGACTTAATTACCTCAATCTGTTTTTTTTCTACCTAATTCTTCCCCTTTTAAAACTGTTTGAAAGCCCTGAGTGTCACTTCATGTGTTGCATTGAAATAAATGAGGCTGAATAGGTTAACTGCTCTTTAATGACCTGTTGCGGAGAACTGATTCACAACTACTTGCCAGTTACACACTTCTTATTCTGAGCTCCTGAGTCCCATAACACTGACATATATGCATGCCTGTGCTAGTGCTGTCATCACCGAAGTGCACGACAACCATGGGGTAATGGATTCAAACTGAAGGAGGGGAAGTTTATGTTAGATACTAGAAAAATGTTTTTTCCTGTGAGGGTGGTGAGACACTGGCACAGGTTGCCCAGGGATGTGGTGATTGCCCCGACCCTGGCGGTGTTCAAAGCCAGGCTGGATGAAGCCTTGTGCAACCTGATCTAGTGAGGAGGTGTCCCTGCCCATGGCAGGGGGGATTGGGACTAGATGATTTGTAAGGTCCATTCCAACCCTTAAATTTTATGGTTCTGTGGTTGCTCTATATGAGCGTGAGCCTTTTTTCCTTCTTTTTTTCCCGTCTGTTAAGTTTCTGTTTGTTTTTAACTTGAATATCTTTTAAATACAGTCCAGGTAATGCAAATAAAATCAGTTTGCTCTGCATGTAAATTGATTATATATAATATGCTAATCATAACTTACTCTCTTGGTGATCTGAATCTTGGTGTTTAACACAGCTTTTTAGGGGTGATAGCATGAGAAGAGTTACACAACTGTAAAATTAATGAGACAAAATGTATTAATTCGCTCTCTGCTCAAGCTGAGAGTATATCTATGTGGTATTAAGATTTCAGATTCAGTATTACCATTTATCTAGTTTACTTTATCTTTTATTAAGCTTTCCTATACTTGCTTTATTAATGTGTAGATAATGATTTCTTCTATTAATATGCTATTTAAGCATCGTTGAGCCAACCTACACCACAGCAGAATTCGTGAGTCAGGCTATTGACATCAATGAACCCATTGGAAATCTTAAGAAGCTGCTGGAACCCAGACTGCAGTGTTCCTTGGATGCACATGAAATCTGCCTGCAAGATATCCAGGTAAATAGAAAGGCTATGAAAGATTTAACCTCTTAATGGAGAAGCATTTTACATACTTTGTCCCTTTCTTGCATGGTTTGTGCAAGTCATGCTTCATGTGGTATGCTAATTAAGAGTTTAATTTTATGTCACATTCATTGTCATCAGACCATTTAATATATACACACTAGTTCACTGTCAAGAAAATCAGAATATTTTGAGAGTTCCTGGTGTGAGGGTAAGAAAGCACTTTGCAAGGGAAAGAAGAATGAGGGCAATGACAGTACTATTCTCTTGTGGTAGCCAGCATCATTCATTGCTGCCTGAACTTCCCTGTTTCTAATCTTGTCTTGAATCTGAGTGAAGTGAGGTTTTTATATTATTCAGGTGTTCAGATTGTGCAAGAAATCCCCTCCTGTTTTTAGAGGCATCACCACATGTTAGGCAGTATAACTGGTTTTCATTCGGTTTAGCTGCATGTTTTATTTGTAGTTATAATCAGACCTCTGAGGCTTTCCCAGAAACAGCAGGACAAATACCATTGTAAAGACAGTAATTTTTATGAGGGTGTTAAAAACTCAGAAAAGGACCTATAGATAGTTTTCAGGTAGTGAAGGTACTGATCAGTATTGCATTGCTTCTTCTAGGTCAAAAAACTAAGTGAAACTTCCTGAACAGTGGCATGTTTCAAATTCCAATCAAATTCTTTCTATCATGTACTGTATCTACATAGTACTAAGAGTGTTTGCACACTTCTTCAGAAAATTTGCTGCAGGCGTCAAATGTTTCTAAAGTTTTAAGGAGGATAAAGTTTGTTGTAACTGTGGGACTAATACATATTTTTAATTTTTTTAATGCTTTTATCAAGCTGGACCCAGATCGGAGCCTTTTTGATCAAGGAGTGAAAACAGATGGAACAGTGCAACTTAGTGTGCAAGTAATATCTAGGCAAGGTAAGCAGTTAGGTTTGTGTGTTGTACAGACAAACTAATGTTGTGGGAATACTTGTAAGCAAACCTGCTGTCCTGTTCCTAGCTGTAAAATTGAGACAATCACTGAATGGTCAGAGCTGCAGAATGTCTCTTTCATTGTGTACTGTGGTTATAAGTAGTAAAAGTAAAATAAATGTCATGGACTGATGGTATTTGAAATGTTTTTTATAGGAACTTATATAATTTTATAAGTAAAAGACCCCCCACAAATATAACCCCAAACCCCAACCAATCTGTGTCAAATAGTGACCGTTACAGTGATAGGCTGTCCTCAAGGTTGAGAGGTTACTCATACATCAAAGCAGGCAAAAGTTTTTTTTTCTAGGTAGGTGACAGTTTCATACCTTTGACATCTGTGAGCTAGTGTGCTTCAGGAACAATGAATTAGATTATGAAAGTATATGTAGCTAAATGGAAATTATTATCAAAGTCCAGGATCACTATCTATTGTCTGTTTTCTTTGGGTGAGAGATCAGAGTAAACCATTGTGACAGAGGAGCATTAACCCGGTGGGTAGGGATTCATTGCTGCATAGTTTTTCTTTGCATTATCCAATATGACAGGATTCCCCTTGTCAAATCCTCAGGACTTAGCAGCTGCATTGTTTTGCTTTTTGTCCTATTCTTCTGCTTTGCCCCTCCATATGTCTTGAGTGGAAGGATTGCCATCACTCACTGAAGACAGTGTTCATGTTGGGCTGTGGGATGTTTGTTTCCATATTTTCAAACAAACAGTGACAACAAGTTCCTACTGGAGTAGAATATCTTTCATTATCTGTTTTGAGTTACATCATCAAAGCAGATTAGCAACATCTGCACATGTCCTTGAAGCTTTGTACATCTTGTACCAGTTTATACTTCTGGAGTGTGTGACATTATGTTCCACAACTTTGGCTCTCTCCAAGGAAAACTGGACATATATTCTCTTATGCAGTAGATAAAGACAGATGTGAGAAGAGGTGCAGACAAGGCCAGGTAATTCATGTTGATCTAGTGTTGCAGTAGGTTAGGTGGCAGACTGTTAATTCATGACATTTTTACTTACAAGCTGATTCCTCTACAGAAACTCATCACTGTGATCTCCATATTTGTATTGTGGATAAAGCACACAGTTCTTTTGGCATGTAATTGTTTGATGGACAGTGAATTATTTTGTTGAGCAATAGTGAACTGGTCCTCTCTAGAAGCTGTTCTCTTTACTTTCCTTTTTGAAGATCAAAAATAGATTCTTAACCCTTTGTGTTTTTCCTTACCCATTATTATTTGATTTAAAAAATAAGCAACCTGTGCTGTGCATGTTAATTTTAGATGGCCTAGATAAAACGGTCTCCTAAGTAAGGTACTTGTTTGCTTTTCCTTCATGTTAGCTTCTTCATCTAATTAACCACTTACTGGTCATCTACATCTGGTCTCACTTCCTTAATTTCACATTGCTACATGTTGTACTTATGGTGTTTGTAGTGTTCCCTTTCTAATATTTTTCTCAAGCTGAATTACTTTTAAAGTCTAGAGGAATACTTGTTTGAAAGAGACTTGGTTTGTTCTCACTTGTAGTACAGATACATATTCCATTTGTTTTCCCTTACAAACTATGACTGGATTGTGGCTTTAGCTTTTGAGGCTGTTAGCTGCAGAAGCTGCCACCTCACTGTGAGCTTTAATATAGATTAGACAGGAGGGACACAAAGCAGTACTTTATAGGACAAGATACTGAAGTTATTCTTGGCCATATGTGAATCCTACTTTTATCTGCCTAACCCAAGTCAAGGTTTTCCAAGCAATAATAAAATGGAATTGTAAATATTTTTTGATGTACAAAGATGTTTGATAAAAATCTCTTAAAGGAAGTGTGGCCATTAGTTGTCATCATAATGGAAATTATATGTCACAAAAATTGAAATAATTTTGAAAATCTTCTATATAATGTCAGAAATTTGGTGAGGCAACAGTTGGGCAAAATATGTTCTTGGAAGACCATAGAGAAGATGGTGATACAAAGCATTAGTGACTGTGTTCGTGATTGCTGCAGAATAGATACAGATTTGTATCCATCTCCATGATCTAATATCTGAAATGACAGATGTAAAGCCAAAACATGAATAGCTGATGATGCTTAAAATATGAAGAACTTTCTGGTTTTAACTTACCGTTGAACACACTGCCTGTTGCAGAGTACCAAAAGGAAATCTTAACTGCTGTGTATAGACCCCAGAGATAGGAAGGAAGTATTGTAAAGGCTGAAGGAATTGCCTCTTGGTTGGAGGAAAGAGCTGGATGGGTTTAGGGTTTTTTGGGGTTGCTTTTCTTTGTTTTTATTCAGTATATTTCTTATAGACCAAAATGCTTGTACTTTATGCTCACACGCTGAACATTCTGTTCAAGATCTGTGAAATGGATCACCTAAATAGAACAGGAAGCTGTAAGACTGGGGGAGGAAAGAGGGACAGCTTTGTATTCCTCTTACTGAAGTGTCTGCTGTATAGTAGAATTTCTACTATAGTATGTCTTTCTAATTTAGGATAGTTGTAGAAATTTGATGATGCTTTTGTGTCATGCTTCTTTCCGGAGTATGATAACCCTACTTGTCAGAAAGCTTTAAACCAATGTTTTTGTCATATTTGCATTGCTGGCCTTAAATTCTGTGTTTGTTCTTTCTGTAACTAGGAATAGAGCCCAAGCTGAACATCCTTGAAATTGTAAAGCCTGTGGAGACTGTGGAGGTAGTGATTGATCCAGATGCTCATCATGGAGAGGCTGAAGCTCACCTTGTTGAGGAAGCTCAGGTGATAACCTTGGATGGAACAAAACATATTACAGCAATTTCAGATGAAACCTCTGAGCAAGTGACACGATGGGCTGCGGCACTGGAAGGCTACCGGAAGGAGCAGGAGCGCCTCGGAATACCTTACGGTAATATTGCACAACTGGTGTGTGTGCATGCATGTAGTCAGGTAGGGATTGGGTGCTTTTTGGGGGATTGGTGCTTCAGTACCTCAGAGAAGGCATCTTCTGGTATGGGTAATTACAATGCAAATACGTGCTTAAGAGAATTGTAGAATCATGGAATGGTTTGGGTTGGAAGGGACCTTAAAGATTGTCTACCTCCAACCCAACTGCCATGGGCAGGGACACCTTCCAGTAGACCAGGTTGCTCAGAGTTCCATCCAACCTGGCTATGAACACTTCCAGGAATGGGTCAGCCACAGCTTCTCTGGGAAACCCATGCCAGTGCCTCACCACTCTCACAGTTAAGAGTTTTATCCTAATGTTTAATCTAAAGACTGAAAGGAAGTAGAATGAGTACTCATAATAATTTTGTTAAAACAGTGCTTTTTGCTCCATAATCACCTTGTCAATGCAGTTTTTGGAAAGTATTTTCTTCTTCCTGCTCTCGTTAAAATGTGTGTGTTAGTGATAAAGCTTTTCACGTGTGTGAAACTGAACTAGACTCCGTACTTAGGGGGCTTTGCCTCTAAAGGTACTGAAACAAACTGTTCTGGACTGTAGGATGCTGAGTATGGTGTTAAGTCAGATTTTGTGTGGAAAGCCATGCTGGAGGAAGATGATTCAGAACTGACTGTAAGCATTCTGGTAGATAATCTCTTTTGAATTAATGTTGTTGCTTAGCAGGCTGCTAATTTCATGTTAACTGAGAAAAAACATCTCCTGAAACTGTATCATGTTTGGGAGATTATTCAGCTAAGTTGCTTCTTGTGACTAGCAGAGTTGTGCTGTCAAGGCATATTCAGCACAGGAAGCTTGTAGCCGACTTGTAAAACTGGAATAGATTTGGCAAGTGGAATATTTGCAGGTGTTTAAGAACTGCAGTCAAGTCCCAGGTCTTTGCAGGACATGGAGTTTGCCAGTATTTTGGATGTATTTTTGGTAACTAAAGCAATGGCTTTTTCATGCCTTTTTGTTCTTATTGGCTAGCACTTCAAAAATAGTTTTCATCATGTTATGTCTGTGGATAATCAGGGATTTGACGCAGAATGTTTGGGAAACAAAAGTGAGGAGCAGACTAATACTTTTCAGCATGCTCATACATTAATGGAAGAAGAAAATTGCTTAAACTAATGTTGTTATACTGAATAATGTTTTTAATGAACTTTCATAATGTTGATGCTTTAAGAAAATCCTATAACTCAGAAGTGTGACTTCAAAAGTTTAATGTCTTTTGGGTCATAGAAGTGCAGATTTTTGAGGAAAATCATACAAGTTCATTATGACAGAGATCTGTGTATTAAAAAGAATAGTTTTATCTTAATACGATTAAAATGTGCTAAACTACTTTCCTAGAAGTAATAAAATTTTAAATGTGTTCCGAGTTGACATTGCAGCGACTTGGGCTGAACTAAGGTACCCCTAGGTTCTACATTATGATATGAAATTATTCCTTGAGTCCTTCCAGAAGACAGAGTGTGCTAATAGTAAAAGTCAAGTCCAGCCAGTAAATAATCATCCAGAAAAGTAGTGGTTCAGTGTCTTCATCCTTAGGCTTCTCTGCTTTGCTGCAAATGAAAAATTAGCTTTTAGCAGTCTTTGAGTTGTTGTGGCTTTCTCTTTGTGTTATCTTTTGGTGGATTTTTTTAAAGATTACAAATTTTTAGCTGTTAAAGGTACTTCTGCTGTTAGAATCCAAATATTTCGTACTATTGCAAAAGTCTCTAGAAAGAAGGATAATATTAATTGTTATGAGAAATAAAGCCAGAAAAGAGAGCAGCAGAAAGCTTGGAAAACATGGAATTGGTTAGAGAAAGTAATGATTCATGTTACCTTAACAGATTGTGTTCTGTCAGTGAGAACAAAGTAGCAGCTTTTTGGTGAAAATTCACTGTTGGTGTGTTGAAGACCAAACCCCTTGTGGTGTGTCTCTTGCCAAAGGATTACATTGCATGGTTTTAGATACCATCAATGAAAAATGATGCCTTGTAACTGTCCTTTATTAAGCTAAATGGAATTTGTAGCTCCTAGATAATGTTTGTAGACTTAGAAAACTTTTGTTTCTTTAATTCTCTTAATTTTTCTTTGAGAATTAATGAATATTAAGAATTAATTTATCATAACATAGAAACTTGTCAGTGTGACATCTGTTCACCGTCATGATGTTGGTTGTCCCCAGGCTCCAGGAAGGAGTACATGGGTTGTAACCACCTCAAGCCCATTGTTCTCTTCAAACTTTTCTTGCTAGTTGTCTGTTTCACATATTCTGTGTTGAGTTGAGCCACATATTCATGGCCTGGCACATCTGTGCACTCATTGCTGAGCAGTAGCCAGAACATCTCTGTGTTACTAAAACTGATTTGAACACCAACCTAAAACGCAGCACCCATATGGGCTTCTGTGAAGAAAATTAACCCATACCAGCCAAACCCAGTGCAATGGTGGTTTTTATTAGTGTAGAAACTGGAATAGTGTGAATAAGTTTAGAATGTAATATGTTGTCATAATCCCATGCTGATGGACATATTTGAGGAAGAGTATCCTTGTGTGAGAGAGAATAGTCTTCTTTTGAAGAAAAAGAAGACTTTTCCTGTGGAAAAGGAAAAATAATTATTTTCTGTGTTTGAGTTGTGTCAGGTGTAGTTCTGACGTAAAAAATTTTACTAAAGAAAATCCTCTCTTTCCCATTTCCATCTCCCCAACAACCCACACCACTCCATCAGCATTTTAAGAGCGCAGTCAACTCTCCAGTCAGATTTGATCACAATAACTTGGCTTCTTAATGGATTTACATCTATGGAAGGAGTTATATAGTTGAGGAGGAACCTTGCAGAATATGATGAGATGATTTGCAGATGTTTCATCTCTTTCTTTTTTGTATAAGGAAAGACTGGACATGGCACTTAGTGCCATGGTCAAGTTGGCACAGTGGTGGTAACAGGCTGCACTTGATTTCAGAAGTCTTTTCCAACCTGTTTGTTTCTGTGATTCACAGACCCAGTGCAGTGGTCTACAGACCAGGTGCTCCACTGGGTGGTGTGGGTGATGAAGGAGTTCAGCATGACTGACATCGACCTCAATGCCCTCAGCATTCCTGGGCGGGAGCTCTGTAGCCTCAGCCAAGAAGACTTCTTCCAGCGTGTCCCACGAGGAGAAATCCTTTGGAGCCACCTGGAGCTTCTCCGAAAGTGTAAGGCAGATTTTCCTGTAACCGATTTTTAGTTATTCCCCCTCCCTCCTTCTCTTCCTTTTATTTTCCCCTCCCCTTTCTTTCTTTAAAGATGAAAACAGTGGTGAGCAGTTATTTTTCCTTGACTTAAAACTGGGCATCGCTCACTGCAGGCTAACAGGAGGAATTAGTGTCTGCTGCTATGGAACATGTCTGCATTCTAAACACTGTTGGCCTGCCCTTTGTTAAACTGTGTAACTAGTAGGAGGTAGTGACTGATGATTCCTCCTTGTTTTTTTAAGAAACATTTGTAATTTGGGCATCTGCTGACTTTGATAGTTGTATAATTTAATACGGATTGGGAGTTACTAAGTGTACATTTCTGTGTCCTGTAGAAGTGAAGATTAAACACAGGCAATGAAAGCCTTAGCTGGTACACAACACACCACTAAGTGATGTGTTCTGTGTGCATAATGCAGCAGTGTATGTGTACATTTCAGATTCACCATGCTTGAATGTAACTTGGCAGGCTAAAAGCTATTTCCATCTTCATTTACATGATATGGCTAAAGGTTTTAGGGGATAGAGAATATATAAGATACCTTGAAATTTGCCATGTACATCCTTATTTCTAAAAATTGAGTGACAGATGTTAAATATCTCTACTCCTAAGACCATAAGCTATACATGTCTCTTGCAGACTGATACCAAATGTTGACTTTTTTCCTTTATGAAATATGAAAGTTTTTGATCTTCAGGTGACTTGAAATTTGTGGGTTAAATAAAAACTTACTATTTTTGTTTCTGATTTGCAGATGTGTTGGCTAGCCAAGAGCATGCTGGAGAAATAGCAACTGTTACTATTGATCAGCGTAAGTGCCTCTGTCAGCATCAACTCACACAATTCACTGCTTGCAGGTCTAGCACTGTATTTTGGTTCAGCACTATAAGAGTACAACATCTAGCAAATCACTTGAGAGAGTAGTTTTCCTTGGTGAGGGGAGGAGGACACATTTTAAACTTCAAAATATTACATTGAGTTTCTCTGTATTTTGCTGTTGATTGAAAGGAGGTGTATGACCTGAACTATGAAAGTTTATAACCTTCATTTTGAGTGGTAGATTTTCTACTCACTTGAAATAAGCTGTCTAGGGTACATATTTAAGGGTTTTAGTTGTTCTGGAGGTTTAGGTTATATATTGCATTAAGGAATTGATATATTAAGTATTAATTTTAAGAAAGTCTGAAAGGGAGCGTGGGAGACAAGACTTGGAAACTGGGACTAGAAATAATACATTAAAATCACTTGGCCAGTTACTTGAAGCTCATTCTTTCAGCTGAAGCAGTGTCATCAATTATTAAAATGAATCCATTTTCAAAAGACTTGTAAGCAGCTTATATGCTAAATAGACAGACCTTGTGTTAGGTCATAGGGTTGTGTCTAGTTCAAGCCATCCAGAGTGGGGTGCTTGCATTCTACACCATTGCAATAGAAGGGAGTTTTGCTGTTTTGATAGCAGGTGTGGGGGGTGGCACAGTGACTGCAGAAAAAAGGACATTAAGGCAGATCACGTGGTAACAAATGAAAACAAAGGCATGAGACAGTTTGGGGTTTTTTTATGGAAATATGTAATACACATAAAAAGCTGATGTTTTCTCTTTAATGTGACACCTCTGCAGCAAGTCTAAAACTACAATTTTCACTATAAGAGGTAAAAAGTCTTTAAGTTATACTTAGCATCGTGACTTCAGCAGTGTGCCTTTTTAGCAAAGAGAAAAACTAGCTTCTAGATATTATAGTAATACAGCTAATAAATAATATATGCCTATTTCTGTGCCAGAAATTTATAATTGATGTTCTGCAATATTCTCTGCTCTACAGCTGTGCAGATTATTCCAGCATCTGTGCAGCCTGCTACGCCGACCACCATTAAAGTGATAAACAGCAGTGCAAAGGCAGCTAAAGTACAGAGAGCTCCAAGGATCTCTGGAGAAGATAGGAGTTCCCCTGGGAACAGAACAGGTATTGTCTCCATTATATTTACATGCAGATGTAGTAAACACTTACTCATTAACTGAAATCACAGTTTGGTGGATTGCATCTTTGTTGCTCCAAGTGTGAGGTTTGTAGGAGGCCATGTTATATGAAGCTACAAAATTCATGGGAAGCATATGCAACCCTGGCAGGTTGGTCAGCTCACACAAGCTCTGTGTTAATGTGGTGCTTTAGTTTCTCAGTCCTGCGGTAAATAAAATGCATAAAATTGTTTCTCTTCCCCATCACTTAACTGTTTGTCCTCTCAATAAACTGCAGAACATTTATTCAAGCGTTTAACTTCTTTCCATTTGCAGAAAGGGGAGAGAATCAACTGCATGTTGTAGAAACCAAACCTAGCTGCTACTTGCTCTGCTTCTTCCCATGCTCCTCTGCTCCCTTGCAATTTGGTGACTTCAAAATTTAGCAAGTTTCATATTTCTTCTTTTTGTTAAGTGAATATACATCTGGAAAACCCCACACTAAATCTGCAGTTTGATGTTGAAATTGCTGTTATTTATACACACTCTTCAATTATTAATGACTCATCTTATTTCTTTACCTTATTTTTTCTTGTTGTCAAGAAATACTCTGTGTCTCTCTCTTTAGACACTATGTTTGCTCCCTGTATCTCATTGGGAATTTAGGAATTCAACTGCAGGTACTGGAATAAAAAGAAATCTTAGTGATTGGACATGAAAGATGTTCCATTGATGTAAACTAAAGTTTGGGGGTTTCTTTTGTATTTCTAATATTTCATGTTGAAAATTGGAGACCAAACTGTTTCTAAAAAAGCAGCTTCTATGACATAGATAGAGGTGTGTGTGTGCATGTGTGTGCGCCTAGAAGAGGAATAAGCAGCTCTTGCTAAATCTGTTCTGTTTTAGGGCTAAATATGTGTCTAAATGACTATGTGTAGTGTTTTGCGATTTCTTAAAGTTCTAGGGACAGATTAATGAGAAATCTTGATTAATTTTTTCTGTATCCATCATTGTTTTAATAGATTATACTAGTGAGTTTGCAGGAAAACGTTTACAAAAGATTCATCAGAAGCAGTCAATTAAGTGCAAGCTTTCCTTCCATCATATATTCAGTGTTGGTTTGCTTTAATACATTGCTTGAAAATTTGTAGCTATGAGGGGAAGATAAAAAGGACAAATTGAACTGTATCTTGATATTCCTGTTTCAACAGGGAACAATGGCCAGATTCAGCTGTGGCAGTTTCTGCTAGAACTTCTTACTGATAAAGATGCTCGGGACTGTATTTCTTGGGTTGGTGATGAAGGAGAGTTTAAATTGAATCAACCTGAACTGGTTGCACAGAAATGGGGACAGCGCAAAAACAAGCCCACAATGAACTATGAGAAGCTGAGTAGAGCTTTGAGGTAAGAAACTTCAGGAGCTCATCAGGTATGAAGTGATTTGCTTCCATTTGGCTGCTTCATTTGTAACTATCATAGTGCAAGACCTGCAGCTTTTTAAATAAAGGAATAAACAAACTGAATTTTGCTAGTGAATGAGAATCATCCTTGCATTACAAGCATATCACTCAGAGGATTGAGTTTTAGACAGTCAAGGAGTCTGGGTTCATTTGTGCTGCATTTGGGTGATGGTTTTGAGGAAATTAAATTGTGTGATTTGTGTTGGTTGGTTGGGCTGGGTTTTGATTTTATTTTTTTTCCCCAGATTTATCACAAGCTTGTTAAGCTCAGCAAGTCCAAGTTGCGTCCCAGCCACTTAGGTTTGCTTAATGAGAAGTGTGACATGCATTTTATTAGTACCTGCTAGACAGGAGAAGCAACAAAGCTGCAGAATTCCAACTTCTGTTTTATTAGTATGACCTAATGTTTTGTAACATCTCTGGAATACAGCGAGTCATGTCAACTTTGTTATCTTACCACATTTCTGCCCAGTGTGATAGTTCTTTTGACATACAATATAGAAAGTGTTCATAAAGAAGTCACTTTTAGTTATAAATAAAGGCAAATGCTAATTTTCAGCCTATTTAACACATGAACCTTTTTCCTCAGAGAAGCAGAGAAAAGAGGAAAGAGAGCAAAGGGCAATAGTGAGGGGAGAGACAATATTATCTTATTAAGGCAAAGTTTTATATATATATATAT